GAGGATTGAGTGGTAGAGTACGCAAATGTGTAAGTGTAGAGGCAGCTTCATTGGCTTCAAGCTACCGCAAAAGCTTTCGCGGAAATATATTTCTTGCGCATCTTGCAAACGCCACACCCAGATTATGTTCCAGAAGTTCTTGCACAGGTTCTTGTACACCGAACACGCGAACATTCTTGACAAACATGTGTTTTGATGTCTTGTACAGCGTTGGACCCGTGATGGCTTTTTTGCTGTGAAGTGATTTGAGCTGTGCATTTGAGATGTTCTTGAGTTTACCACTTGGAATCAGCTTTGAAGATTCTTGCTTGGAGTTTTTTGAAATACTGCAAGATTTCAATACCCGAGCGCTGCAAATGCACAGTCCATGTGTACATTCACATTTTGCACATGTATCCTTCCTTTTTTGGTTTTTGAGTTTAGTGCGCTTACTGTAGTAGTTGTTGTTCTTGCAATGGCTGCTGAGCCTCAGCGCTTGTATATTGGTGGGTGGAAGATGGGTATCACCCGGCAAGATTCTAGTCAAGCACAGTGGAGATTTAGTTTGGCACTGCGTTCTTTTGCACAGTCAATCTGGCGATGTTCTTGCTTAACATACTTCTTGCTGAACATAATAGTTCCTCCGCAGTCGATTTGTTTATGTACCCACTGAGGAGATCTATGACTATTTGGCGGCCAACGATTTGCCGTTTCCTAATGATATCAAGATTGGTAGATGCTTGACGTTAAAAGAGGCTTCGTGATCTTGCCACCTGTGATGTTCTTGAGATGTACATATCACCATGTTCTTGCCACTTGTGTTGTTAGAGTTTGTTGCATTTGACATGGTGATGCTTTGATATAACGTCTGATTCAAGAGATTCAGCTTCTTTGCACTTCTGATGTTCTTTTGAAATTTCTTGTAGCTGAGACGCTGCATGTTTTTGACCGGCGCCACTGGAAGGGGATATCCTGTTCTTGCCACCTGTAGCTCTTGCCACATGTTTTGTTCTTGCCACCTGTTTTTCCCACAGACACAGTTCGAAAGAGGTTTCACGTTCTTGCCACCTGGTGTTCTTGTCAGTTCTTGCGCTTGAGATGCGTCTTGCCGATCTTGTTCTTGCCTCAGGTCAGGGCTCATCAGACCAGATGTATACCTTTTTCAACCTGAGCTCCGCTGATGATTCAGTGGCGATCCAGCTGGCACTTCGCGGCAAGACCATTGCAGGCGCTACGAAGAGGGCTTCGAAAGTCAACGTTGCCGGTCCAGCACCTCCACGGTACGATGCTGCGACCAAACATGGAAGCCGACCGAAAGCAAAGCAATCTTCGGCGCCGGCGCCGGTGCCGCGCGCAGGTTATCCATTTCCACCTGAGCCTCCACTACAGATGTTCGGTCTTGGTCCGGAGCGTGCGCCATCGCCGGCAGGTTTGTCGGGTAAGTATGGTGGTCCTCCTGTTCTTGCGGCTCCTACGATCAATGCATATTTGGCGCACCCGCCGCTGCCTCGACCTTCATCATCCACATCAGGACCGCCGAAGCCCTCCATGGCACCTCGATTCATGGCCAAGCCATCAGCATCGGTTGCGCCATCTGTTGCTTCGGCGGCTTTGATGAACCGGTGGGGAGAGCTTGGCAAGGGCCCTCCCACTGAGTGGATTCGGCCACGAGAGGCCATGCAAGGCGCTGTCTCAGGCGGTGAGACGGAGTATGCTGGTACAGATGGCTCTCCGCACGCCGATGTCGAGGAGGAGTCATCGCCAGATGAAGAGTATGAAGAAGCCAGCGCAGAAGAGCATGGCTCAGTTCAAGAAGCAATTCAGGAAGGCTGGTCAGAAAATGCTGTGTCCCAAGAAGGTGAAGAGCACCAAGTCTTGGTTGAACCCACACAGGCCAAAGCTGCCGCGCTGAAGAGGCCTTCGAGGACCACAACACCAGCACCAGCGCCGACACCCTTTCGAAAGCGCGCGCAGCCAGCTCATTTTATTTGCAACAATATCCCCATAGCTATCCCTATTTGGGAAATAACAACATATGAGCTTGCGCGTATAAGTTTACGCGCGCAAAAGTATGCACGAAGGCCAAGCAGTATCCAGCGCCACTATTGTAGCGTGCTTGAAGCAACGATCTGCAGACCGATAAGGCCGTATGATCTCGCGCATATAAGTTTATGCGCGCAAAAGTATGCGCACAAACGGAAAAGCCCGTAGGCTTCACTCGCCCAAGGCCAAGCAGTATCCAGCGCGACTATTGTGCAGCATGCTGAAACAATCGTCGGTTGAGAGCCTGACGTTGCGCATAGAATATTATACATACAAAAGTATGCGCGCAAACAGTACAGCCCTTGACACTGTCGGCCAAAACAGAACCTGAAGAGTGTAAATAGACAAAGAACGCTCAAGCGACAACACCGTATGATGTTGCGCGCATAAGTTCACGCGGCCCATGACTGCTGGCGCTTCATTGTCAGAAGCGGCGCTTGGTCGCCCTTCACTGCTGCAAGGGGCGGTTTGTTACCCTTCACAGTCAGAAGCGGCGGTTGTTGTCACTTCACTGTCAGAAGCGCGCGCCAGCACCGAGCGCCGGCACACCAGCTCACGCCGCCCACCACCAGCACCCGGCGCCGGTATACCCAGCACCAGCAACCTGTCTCCACCCCCTGCACAGCCAGCTCACAGCGCCAGCACCAGCACCGGCACCCAGCGCCCAGCACCAGCTCCGGCACCCGGCACCAGCACCAGCAACCTGTCTCCACCACGCGCATGGCCAGAGCACCAGCACCAGCGGCGGCACCCGGCACCCAGCGCCCAGCACCAGCGCCGGCGCCCGGCACCAGCACCAGCAACCTGTCTCCACCACGCGCGTGGCCAGAGCACCAGCACCAGCGGCGGCACCCGGCACCAGCACCAGCAACCTGTCTCCACCATGCAGCTCATAGCGCCAGCACCAGCACCGGCGCCCAGCGCTGCACCCAGCACCAGCACCAGCAACCTGTCTCCACCACGTGCACAGCCAGCTCACAGCGCCGGCACCAGCGCCGGCGCCCGGCGCCCAGCACCAGCTCCACCGCGTGCGCAGTTAGCTCACAGCACCAGCAGCAGCACCGGCACCCGGCGCCCAGCACCAGCCGGCACCAGCAATCTGTCTCCACCACGTGCACACAGCCAGCTCACAGCACCAGCACCGGCGCCCAGCACCAGCAACCTGTCTCGAAAGCGCGCACGGGTAACTCATTGTTATTTGAAGTAGGAACCCCATAGCTTCGCTATCTGGGGAATAAAACTAGCGTTGCAAAATCTGCAACTTGTTCTTGCCTTGTCAACTGTCGTGTCACCAAGTGCTCTGTACTGTAACGAACTCCGCGCTGCTCAGCCAAACTCCACCCAAGCTTCCAAGCCCCACAGCCAGCACCACCAGAACCAAGCTCCCAAGCGCACAGAGCACACGCTGCGCGCGCACACAGCAGGCACCTTGCAGCGGCGCCAGCGCCCAAGCTTCCAAGCGGCACAAGCGTCCAAGCCCCCAAAGTGCACGCAGCAGCCGCAACCCGCAGCGGCACCCTGCACCCAAGCTCTCAGGCGCACACAGCAGCTCAAGAACTCACACAGCTCTTCCTATTCTGGAACAGCAGCTGCGCCCCGCAGCGGCGCCAGCACCCAGGCGCTAAAACGCACACACGCAGCTCTTGACCCCAATAGTTCACGCTATATATCTGGTAAGTTGTAATTTCTACTTTGTGTTTTGACTTTAATGCTAAATTAGCCCTAATTAAATTTTATTCAACGCAATTCTAATCGAACTCCAAATGAAGCAACTCTAATTCAACTTGAATTTAATTCAAACCGAAAATTTGATTTACTTCTAAGTTAGTTCTAATTCAAATTTACATTTGATCTTATGCTATTTTTCATTGAATTCTGCTTCATTTCTAAATTAAATGAATCGAATTTACTTCTATGTTTGCTTAAAATGTATGTTTATGCGACGTCTATCTGACTTCAAATTAATTAAGCGCAGTTCTAGTTTATTTCGACTCCAACTGTATTTCTAATTCAGCTTCATCTTACTCCAATTCAACTCGAACTCTAAGTCAATGCCAGTTCAATTCTTCTCAGGTTCTAAGTTAAACCATCAATAATAGCCAAAGTGGAATAGAAATAGGATCTTCCATGAGCTGCCCTCGAGTCAAAACAAAAGCATCTTTGCAGTCCAGTCAATGAAGAGTTCAAACGGCATCTTTACAGTCCAGTCAATGAAGAGTTCAAGCCTTGAGCAACAAGCGAGGCCAAGAAAACTGAGAACTGGATTCTCACAGTCCCTCGGCCCTCGCACTCAATTCAGGATGGCTCCAACAGCGGCTTCGGTGAGACCACGGGCTTAGATTCTTAGATCCGAAGAAGGATGCGCGGAGACTCCGAAATCTGCATCAAGGAACGTAGAACCTTCGTCAAACAGCTCTAGTTCCTCCCAGACTGGGGGGAGAGATCTCTCAATCCCCGCGTTCTCTTCGCCCTCACTGCGCATTGGGCTGCAGGGTGCGGTCCTCCTATCAAGCCTTTAGCCTTTTCTGGCAGGCTCTGGCTTCTGTCCCGGTGGCTTGACTCTCCTCCGCTCTGCTTCCTCCTCCTTGCACTCTTTTGCCCTGAAAGACTGACTCCTCTTTCGGCTTTGTCCTCTTCGTCTTTCGCTCGCTTTCTACCTTCCTTCTCCTCTCTCCTCTACCTCTTCCTTCACCCGAGCGAGCCGGACGGGCGCCGCCTTGAGCAGACTGCACCTAACAATGGAACAAGGGCACAACCAACCGAGCGGCTCGCGCATCCAGGAGGGTCCAGGGTGGACATTCAGCTAAAGCCACAACACTGCGGTGAAGAGTTTGGGTCTGATTGTTTTTAGACCTGAAACGCAACCAATATAATATAGGCATTAATTGTTTACACATACACAAGTTGTTAACAAGAAACGATCACAAAAAAGGAACACAAATAAAATAAGCGTTGCAGAATCTGCAACTTGTTCTTGCCTTGTCAACTCTCTTGTCACCAGATAGGGTGTTCTGTACCGTAACGAACTCCGTGCTGCTCAGCCAAACTCCACTTCCTTGCCTTAAACATCAGTGGAAGGGTGACAATGCACCGGGGATGCGCAAATACTAGCTTTTGCTCCCCCAATTCGTGGCCTACCCCCAACAAAGTATATAATGCAAAACAGAAAAATCCCTCTGAGTCACTCCCATTCCTCATAAGGTCCTGGAAACCAAATGCACGGGCCCTTCTCCACCCTGCGTGCTCCAGTGAGTGAATCTTCGACAGACACATACTCCTCAGCGCTCCAAGAACGCCTACTTGAATTGAGTGACCTACAACCTTGGAAAGGCGTTGCCAAAAAATGCATTCTGCTGTCAACTTAAGTCGGCACCGAATGAAAACTTAAAGGTCCCTGACGTGCTGAAACCACGCAAGGGCTGCCTTTTAATTTACGAAGCAAGAAACGGATGTGCTTCTACGGTTCGTTCATCTCATGTCTGAAGTTAGGGCTGATTAGTTAAGGTTCGCGTGTGAATGCATGTTTGACACCAAGAAAATGCTTTTAGTTGCTTGGTTCAAGTGTTCTTGTAAATGCACTCTAGGCTCAAGTGTTGTTGCAAGTGTTCTTGAAAATCTCAGCTCCGGTGCCCAAGCTCTTCCAAGGCTCGGTACTGTTGAGACGGACACCATTCATGACCTGGTGGCATTCATCGCACGAATTAGCCTTCACCCTAGGAGGAGAGGGAACCTGCTTCTTTTTGGCTCAGTTGTAAACTTGAAACTTCAAAGAAGGACAACTGTTCTACCCCGCCTTTCCTTCTTCTCTGGGCCCAGGGATCCAAATCAAAGGGCCCCGCTGCACCTTTCTCTCACCTGTCTGCTTGTCCTAGCGGCTCTTGAGATGACTTCACTACTGAACACCTACCACAGCAACAGAAGCAAAGACCCCTTCATCCACGGTCCTGTATCAGGACATACCTTGGATAGTTGTCTTGCAACAAGTGTCCTATGCCCAATTTTGTTTCCCATCTTTTCATCCTTGCTTTCAACAAGTCCATTGCTTCACGTTCTGTGCTTCTGGAATCAAGGCGCTGCATGCTGGTCAAGCTCACCCCTTGACCAGCACCTTCTAGCTTCTCATACGGGCCCAGGAAAAACAACCTGGCAGACTATGAACAATGCTTTATATAGCAGGCTTGGCAGCAACTACAACGATAGCAGCAAATAGGCACTACTACTACCAATAATAATAGTAATAATAGTAATAATAGTAATAATGATGATGATGACAATCGTTGCTGGCGAAAAGATGCCACATGAAATTCGCCGGACTTTTTCGTAACATAGAGCCACATACTTGTAGTCAACTTTTGCTGCTCTCGAAGACTCCGAAAGCTTTGGCAAACCGGCAAACCTTTCAAACATGCAAGGGTTCTGCTGCCTCGTTTCATGTAGTAGCTTTCTTGCTAATAGACGGACTACTGGCTACAAGGATCGTGTTGAAGCGAGACGTGTGACTTTAGGCTTACTTCCCTTCAGACTGCACCTCGGGCCACGCACTGCGCGTTCAGAACCGTCCATGGTATCGCGTACCCTCACCTTAGTCGCTTCTCAGCCGCTCGGTCCGATTGAAAATATGTTTGAGACTCTGAACTTTTGGCCAAGTTACGTAGTCTAGAACACCAAGGGTGACGGCCTTTGTAATGTGGTAGGACTTGAATGGATTGATCCAAACCAAGCCAGGACCTCGAATCAAGAAAAACGTTTGAGGAAAAACACCATCGAACATGCTACGCTGCAATCAAGTATCCATTAACGACAGTAATGGTAGTGAGGTGCTGAACCCTGAGTTGCTCGTCCATCCGCAGAAATCGCACCTTGCCATGTCACCGCATGTAAAAATCTCACCAGTTCTTCAAAAGCCTGAGGAAGAAACTGGACACATCATGGTCATCAGAATCTGCAATAATATCGAAAGCGCAGATTGGATAGCATCAGACCTGCACGATGAAGTCACATTGAAACAATAATCCCATGCGTCGATTCCAACGCACTTGTGTCAAACTTCCTTCAACACTGCAGACTACCTCGGGACATCAGCATCTTCTCGAGCAGGGCGAACCTCAGATCAACTTATTTCTACCGTTTTCATTTCTCCTGTTCCCCACCAACGCAGGTATTTCTTCCAAAAACTTTCCACGCGCAAATCCTCGCAGTCAACATAACACGCAAGAACGATGTCTATAGAATAAACATGAATAAACATTTCTCAATCGAAAGTTCGTGGAGATGTCGACCATGTGCCAAGTCAAAGCAACAGCCCGCTGCACGGCAACATCTTTGCGCCTGCAGTACCAACTCCAAAGAACTGTTTAATGAAGGGCAAACCACTGGGAGAACTGCATGTAGACTCAATCAACCCCCGCCATTGCTCGGGAAAGCCAATCGGCAAGCAAAACACGACAAAAAATTATCAAATTATCACCTGAGATGAGAGGGGGTGAGAGGAAGGAGGTGAAGTGCCCAAAAGCAAGTTTGTCGTTTTGTCATGGAACCTGTGTCATCTCTGTGGAAACATTTTGGGTGGAAATCATAGTTTTTGTTTGTTGTTTGAACCACATGCGGTTTCCAGCGCCTGTGTGGCGCTTGCAGGCAAGTTCAATATATTATTCGTTTGATGTTGTGTTCATAGTTTGCATTGCGTTTTTTCCCAAGATAGCGAGATCTATTGGGGTTCTTACTTCAAGAAATTATAGGAAGAGGTGCCTGTGCGCGTTTTGGGGACCAGCAAGGTGCCGTTGCAATGCGCCGTTGCCGGATGTTTGGGGCAGCTTGGCGCTTAAGAGCTTGGTGTTGGTTTTGAAGCTTGGATGCCGGCGCAGGGTGCTGCTGCCAGGTCACGTCTACGTCGAATTAAGAAACAAAGCGCTTAAGTGCTGCCCACAAGTGTCTTGTGCTATCTGGGGTCTATGCCGGTGTATAATCTCCTTTTCAGGTGGCACCGGACTGCAAAAAACATTGCTGCATTGCTCTCACTGCATAGCACTTGTGTTCACTGCCAACACACACACACTCGAGATATTGCGTACGGAACTGAATGCCGCATGCCACACGCCCACCTAGGTATGAACGCCCAAGAGTTCCAGGAAAAGGTATGTAATGCGGTCTGAACATGCAAGCCGCCATGAGTCCCAAAGATCTCAAAGTTCACAAAATTCTCGAAAGCACGCGGAAAAGGAAACGAGAGTCGTCGAGTGCACATCTGCAGACCTGAATCATCCTGCAACAGCCTGAGCACCTCTACGAGTGCAGAGTGGCTAGAACATGACAAACTGCAGGTACAGGAAGGCGATCAGCCTTCCCTTCCCATCCATGACCGTAGCTTCGTTGCACACGGTGGGTCATGGATGCCCTGTGCCCCTGCTGAAAATCAAAGGGTTCCCTGTGATTGCCTGTGATTCCAATGGTTTCACAGTTAGACCCATGCTTGCAAGAGCTAAATCAGTGATGGCTTCCACATGAAGCTAGCACTTTACGTTACTGAAAGCCAACTAGACCGTGACTTGCAAAACAGAAGGGTGAATGAGTCCGCAATAGCAGAAGGTTTGAACAAGGCTCAAGAACAGATGCAAAGGCCGGCAATCTTGTTCTAATTACAAGCAAGGACCAACAGCGTGTGACCCACCAGCTGCACTTACTGTAGATGCCCAGGCGCGCAGGTACGTTTGCACAAGCACTGCACGGGCGTCTTCGTTAGCTCTCGTCTCACGCAAGCTCCGAGAGCGCCTGCTGGTCTGTATAGCGATGTGAAGAAAAGAGCTTAATTTAGAAAAGAAGGTAACTAGTTATTGCGGTCGCGCTCCATGGAAAGAGGAGTCGACACACACACACACACTCACGTATCGGCGGCCCCTGAGTCCCTGAATTGATCTTGCCGCGCGCTAAACGAACGCACTCGCGAAGATCGTGCCCTTTTTGGGCGTATATGTGAGCCAGGTGAACAAGCGCTCGTTCTGTGGCTTCGGGTGGGAAAGTCTATTTCTTGATGAGGTGGGCTCGTGGACTTGTGAAAGGCAAAGGGAGCCCGCTGAGCCGAGGAATGGTCCCTGATCCTCCAAGGAGCGGTGGGTGGTATGTATGTGATGGTGCGGTGGTCCAAGTTGACGTCGAAGCCCAGCAAGCGCATGTCTTGGACGGGTTCCAGCTCGATGGGGTTGCCAAAAAAGTCAGGTGAATGAGAGTCTGGACGCCGACGCGGTTCAGAAAATAAGTGGTGTTGAAAGTGATGAATCGGTTGCCCGCGTACCTGTAGTAGGCAAAGTGTATCTGGCTGCTGGCTGTGATCCGCGAGCCTGTGGTGTAGCTGGGCCCATGCGTGTTCAGAGAGCGATGGCAACGTTGCAGAGTGCTGGTGAGAGCTGGCAACCAATACCGGCTACTCTGGTTTGCTGGTAAAATGTGGCGCAGGCTTGGAAAATACAAAAGAACGCCGCGCGGACAATCTGCGGGACGTCGCTTGTTTCAATGGTGCGGAGAGTGGGGCACCGGCGGTGATGTTGGCCGATGTGTGAAAGGTGAATGGGGTCGCCATTAGCTTGGACGTCAATGGTGAGGGTGGATGTGTCAAATGTGAAGTTCCATTTTGCGGTAAGGCTCTGGACAGCGTCGTTCAGCCGGTCTTGTGGCACCGCGTTGAAGAAACCAAGTGTTGGACAGGCATTGGTGGAAACGTCGCCAAAGCCGTGGAATGGAGAGTTGGCCCGGCGCCTGTGGAAAGAGGCGTAGGATCATGGTGCGACGGCTGGAAGTGGCTTGAAGCAGAACGGTAGGAAATGATGGTGGAAATGATGGCGCGGCCTTTGCGCCATTGTTTCTTGGCCTTGAGGGCGCGCGATAAAATACGGTATCATAAACTTCCCGGAACGCCAGCGATATTTGAATGGTGTCAGCTGAGTGCAGTGTGTCGCCGGCGGTGGAGGGCAGCGGTGGGCCCTCGTCGTCTTCATGGGAGGTGGAAGTAAGTGGCCACGCCATGTGACGCGGGCGCAATGGTTCGCAGCCGGTGGAGCGGTGGAGGAATTGGTTGCGGGAGCGCCCCATAATAGCCTGGTAAATTTGGTCGAGGAGGGCAGCAGCACGTCGAAGGTAGCAGGCAATCTGCAGGAGGTTTGGTGGCAGCGGATCCACTAGTCTCTGAAGAGAGTCCGACATGGCCAGAACCAGTGGGAAACGTGACAGGAAGGCGGTGGCGCCAATGATGAAGCTGAATGGCAAGCTATGTACATGGCAACTTCCAGAGTCCAGCAAGTAAGCATGACCGATCTCCGCAAAAGCGGACTGTAAGTTGTATATATTGAAATCTCACGCGAAAACTGCAAAGTGATTTGGAAAAAAGTTCACATCCATATCACACAACGTCGAATCACAAATCAAAATCGAAAATCGTTCTTCTGAGGCGGTGGCAAAGGCAGAAAATGAAGGATTCTGAAGGAGATGCTGAACATTGCCAAGCAATTCCTCGAATGACGGCATTGTCGGGTGGACCGTCCAACACTTGGCGTTGCGACGCTTTACGATACCGTCGATGCCGTGGTCGAGGCGTCTATTCAAGCCGTTCACCTTCGCGCCAAAAGGCCCGCGCCAAAGGCCATAACGTGAAAGAAAACTTTGGCTTTGTTTTTGTCCAAGCTGTTGGTCTTTGCAAGGACGCGTGCTGTGTTCCAGTGGTCGTATTGAGTCACCGGAGGTTTCAAAGCCTTGTGCGAAGAAACCACAGACGCGTATCACGCAAGGTGCTGGTTTTGAATTCGCCACCCGGAGCAGGGTAATGAGAGCGCTTTCTTCCGTAGCATGGCCACAAAACACGCGCTTGACACCGTGTTGCGTGTTGGTTTCACGGCGACGTGCGGGAATGGAGATGGAGCCTCCCTCGGCGGTAGAGTCTGGGAATGTACAAGGTGAAAAGGGAGGCGGCATCGTAGTTTTCCAGTGATGATTTCCATTCACTGTGTTGCCATAGTCGCAAATCTTGGAGGTCGTCAGCTTGGATGTTGGCGGCTGTGAGTAGGCGGGCAATGTAGCGTAGCATTGTGTTGGATGAAGTTGATCGCATTTTTGGGGGAAGCGGTAGATCTGGTCCGCTGGTGACGCAGTGAAAACGCGATCTCTGTCAATGTCTGTGTAGGACGTGGAAGGAGGAAGCATAGGATCTGGTCAGCCCACGTATGCCTGGGTGGAGTGCTGGTGGCGCCCAAGCGCCTCGCGATTTTCGAGGGAAAGGTGGTTTGGGTTTGTTGGACCTCGTCCCTGGTGGCTTGGGTGGTGCTGGCGCCGGTGGCGCTGGTGCTGGTGATGGAGGTACGGAATTCGGCGTTGATGCCGGTCATGGCGCCGGCGCGGACGCCGGCGGAGGTGGTGGTGGTGGTGGTATTGAAGGCGCTGCAGTCGTAGAACCTGGTGTGAGTGTTGGCGTGGTCGATGGGGGTGGCTGTGGGGGTGGAGTTGTAGACGTGGTACAGCAGAAGTGGAAGCCATAGTAGGTTGCGAGGCAGAAGACCGCACAGATCCGGTCTGCTGTGAACGGGTGGGAGGTAAAAGTTGTTGAAGCCGGTGCAACGTGAGTGGCTGGAGCCTGGAATGGTTGATGGTGGCGGTGGCCCAGGTGAGAGGGCAGAAGCGGTGTTGGCGTGGCATGGACGAAAATTATGGGTGAAGTTGGAACTGGATGGCGGTGCGTCGATGATGTTGCATGGTTGGTACTTGAATTGGTGAGTACAAAGGTGCATGTGGTGGAGGCGGCATGTGTGGTGAAACTATTGGAGGGACGGCGCCGTAGGCTGTGGTTGAGCATGCCATAGTGTGTGACGAAGTGACCGAAAGTTGGCGGGCGCCACAGCCAATGGCGCAAGAGGAAATGCCAGGCTCCTGAATGCTGAAGAAAGGGAAAGGCTTATGGGGTACGGTCATGGGCGCACTGCGGCATCAACAGCAAAAGGCAACAAGTCCAAGTATGAGGGCGAGAGGTGTTCTTTGGTAGGTGATTCGTTGATGGTGTGGTCCTTTGTTCTGTTCGCGAAGTACACCGGTACGTTTGACGTTGCATTGCTGTTTGCCAGAATGGGACGCCCTCCTGGTTGTAGGCTTCCTCATGGGCGGTCTGGGGGTGGTATCAGACCTTAACAGACATCTGGCTGCACGGGTACGTCACACGGGAAGCGACGTCCGTATTTCCACAGGTCAAATCATGAATGCAAAAACATAGCCCCGTCAAAGTGTTCAGGCAGGTTGGTGGAGATGGAGGCAGCTCTTCCAGAAGCTGTCAATCGAACAACACGCACGAGCAATGTGACGACAGAGTCTGACATGCATTGTTGCCTGGGTCCAGTTGCGGATTAAATTTTGGATTAAAATGGATGAAACTTCAAGCGATTACATCAGTGTGGTCTGCAGCTTGATAGCAGCAATCTCGAGCAAGTGGCTACGCAGAAGGAATCAAGCAAGACGATGAATCACTGACAATTCGCCCTTGAGGGTCTATGCTCAACGCGCCCAGTAAGGATCACACAACAGACCTCAGTGGGACCCTGTTGCGGCACACACTTAGATCCAATGCTTGCAAGAGCAAAATCAGTTGCAACTTATAACTTCCACGTGAAGCTGGCACTTTACGTTACTGACGGCTAGACCTTGACTTGCAAAATGGAAGGGTGAATGAGTCCACAAACAAGGCTCAACAACAAATGCAAGGGCCGGCAATCTTGTTCTATTACAAGCAGGGACCAACAGCGTGTGACCCACCAGCTGCACTTAGATTCCCAGCTGCGGTCAAGAGCAGGTGCGTTTGCACAAGCACTGCGTGAGCGTCTTCGTTGGTTCTCGCCTCACGCAGGCTCCGAGAGCCCCCTGCTGGTCTGTACAGTGATGTGAGGAAAACCGATTTAATAGGTAACTAGTTATTGTGGTCATGCTCCTTGGAAACAGGAGTCGACACACACACACAAGCAAGCTCCTGCGAGATCTAGCAGGCAAAGTCAATCTTGAACTCCCAGTGGTGACTCATAAAACTGAGCCCGGGCATCAGCAGATTGATAAAGGAGAGGCGGGTCAAGCGAACATCTGCAAGCTGTTTGGAATGAGATCCAGTGACCTTCAATGAAACCAGTAAGCTTCAGTGATACGAACCAGCCAAGGCAGTTGAGGTGAAGTCCTCCGGCATTCCAAAAGAAGCGCAGCTTGCCTGAAGCAGTGGTAGATCGTGGTGAGCACTGGTGGAGGAGCAGGCGCCCTGGAAGCACAGGAACCCCTGTCAGGTGCAAATGGTGGTTTCTAGCTTTGAGCAGGAAGCGCAAGTCGATCGGAAACCTTGCCAACATGGAACAAGACAAAATGTTCTGGGACTGGGCAGGCAGGATGAAAAAGTGGTACCGGAGGTCCACCAGCGCAGATGCAGAAGCGCAGGATATGGCCAACCCTTCAACTCTGCACCAGACCAAGTGATGAGAAGATAGAGAGGCGTGAGGTGAGGCAAACGTTCAGATCTTTCAGAAAATGCGATGATGAGGCTGAATAAGCAGAGAAAGATTGAGGGAGGTCAGATCAAACGACGAGAACACAAATCAATTTGTGACAAAGGCCATGGGGACTCGTTGACATGGCTGTGTGTCTACGATTTGTGAAGCCTACAAAAGGACAGCTGGAAACTCAGCAAGAGCTACCAAAGCAAAATCAGACTTTGGCCTTTCGGGGATAGGGGAATTCAAAGTCAGTAATTAATGTTTAACCATGCGGGAACGCCTAAAATGTTTAAAAAACTGTCTAACGTGGATTTGAGTCACATTGAAGGGGGGCAAAGTCAAATGCCGGAGTGAAGCTCAACTGTGCTTATCATCCATCTGTCATTTTTCTTGAGGAGTGAATCGGATTTTTAATCTGGATCGGGGCAAGCAAGCCATTACACAGTTTGGACAACGCTTCTTTCACGACTCCAACCTGTACACTTCCATCTCCCCCTCTGATCGGGGCTTCCAATCCGCACGGCGACCGCATGTAATGCACTGATCCTTGGTCAGTAGCTTCTAGCTACTAGCAGTAATGCCCTTGTTGCTAGTAGCGATGCCCTTGTTACTACTAGTAAACCCATCATCCCCTCATCGGATTGCAACTTTTGCTGAGTGACAGAGTCCATGGAATTCCTCTGCATGCACAGCTTGCAAGACCATGTGACCGCCATTTGATGCCAGAGCCAAACACTCAGCTTGAAAGCGCCAAACTTGTCACATGGCAAAGTACGGGTCCGACACGGTGCATTTGTCGCGGGCCAAAGTCTGAAGTAAAGCGGTCTCTTGTTGGCTAAGAATATTCATCAAAATTGTCTGCAGAACAAAACTGCCTGTTTTCTGGAACCTAATTTAGCGTCCTGCAGTCCAAAAGCTGTTGCTTCCTACGTTGAGGTTCAACTGGATCAATTTGCAGAATTCTGGCACACTAGCAAGTACTCTGAAATCCCTCTTGAAGACGATTGCAAGGTTCACACGCAAAGTGATAACACCAAGTTTTCTATCTGCAGTTGAGCCTGAGGCAGCATCTAGCTTGAGCTCACAGCAACAGGATATATATATATATATGTACATCTAATTGTTTTTCAAGGTATGTGACTGTCTACTGGCGCTCGCATCTATTGACTTCACGACGCTCTCTTGCAGATTCCACTGCGTCGGCAAATCATCAAACAACGCAGCCTGCCTGTGATGGTCACAGCACAGTCGAGCAACCGCTGGATGCCAGTCACTGGCCGTTGCTCTGTTTCTATTATGCATGCCGTGGGTTTAGTTGGCTGAAATCTTGGAGTCACACCATTCTGATAGAAACGGATGGTCTTGTGAGGACTGACTGGAGAACTGGCTCTTGTGCTAATATAAATGGGTATCTTGCAAAATCAACTTGCCCTTCAAATTACACCAATGCGCATGTGCGACAAAGTGCAACTTGAGCCAACCTTCAATAAGACAGGTTTCATGATGTTTCACTGTTCAAGCAGAGGGGGCAATGGCTATCTCAGTGCCTGCACCACAAATACATGTAATCAGCTGACAGCAAGGTGTGGAGAACCTCATGAGGTTTGCGGCATCCATGATCAAAAGGTCTCAAAGGCTTTCACATGGATTTGAAGCTTAGCCTTGGACATCTGCAAAGAAAAGCTGCAGAAAATGCTCACCTCAGTTGCTCTGTTCCCTGGGAATTTGTTGATCTTCAGGGTATATGCTGAGGACTTGGCCCAAAAAATACATCTTACCCCAGAAGCACATTCTGATAAATCGTGCAACCTGAACGCCGAAAGTGCTTGATTCAACTGCAGCGAAAAAGTCAGAGTGCGAGAACAAGCAAACACCGAAGCCGAAGCAGCTTCACAAACTGGACTCCAAGCCAGAAAAATGTTGGCAGCAACTGTGTTTGCAATATTCACCAGAATGTGCACCTACCGAGCCAATCATAAGTATTATCATCCGCAAAAAACAATCTTCTTGAACTGCCTACCCCTACTCGCAAATTGCAATCAATGATCCTGTCTTTCAAGCTAGCTTTGCAGCGAACTGTGCCCTTTTTCACTCAGAAGACTTTCCGAAACTTCTGATTTGTTTCATGGTGATTCCAATTGATTCGTGGTAAGTGATGTTGGGTGTTCTTGATTGTTATATGCGTGTGGATATTAACCTTGTAACCGTGAGGGCTTACAAAGCTATCCTGTACTCCATTCGGGTTCGAAAGGACTCGCTCCCCTTTTCCTCCAATAGGGGCACTTGAGCCAAATAGATGGCGGTCATCACACATAGTCACATAGCAGACAATCTGTACACATTCTATACTCCTATCGCTGCACTTCCATTGACACCCCCCATGTATCCCATGCTTTCAACTTTGGGTACAGATGATTAAAATCAAGGGTAAGTGCGCTGCGCATCAGGCTTCGAATTTGTAAATATGTGAGTAGAACTATTGGCTGTGCGTCTGAATTTGAGAACGATAGTCGAACTAGCCACGCTCAGAAAACTCTCAGTAGATCTTCGTCATGAAGTAGTCAACTATAAAACGTTCATCTGATGCTCTCTTATGACTGACAGAGGTTCATACTTGGCGAGTTGAACTTGTCTCAATGTCCGGTATCTTCCTCGTAGTCATTAAGTCCCTCCCCTTGTAACCAGGTGTCCCACTTGCATCCGGGTGTCCTGTAAAACGGCTTCATGTTAAGCTCTACTTGGGCTCGCTCCTGATGAGCCTAGCTTTTACTCACTCGCTAGACTGGCGTCATGGTGGGCCTTGCTATTGCTCGCTGACTAATGGTTTCATGATGAGCACAGTGCATCATCCCGATCGCCGTAGCCTTCCCAATGTCCACGGTCTCTCCTCAGGTTTGGGTTGGTCCACTGTCCATCTCGGAACTTTGCATCATGGGCGTTCATGTTCATAGCTGCTGGTTGCCAAGTTCGAGCGGATCAATTTGACTGCTGCCAAGAACCTTTCCCTTTCGGGTCCTGATGATGGGTTTCTCCTCGACTTTGGTGGCTTGAGGACGCTGCCTCGGATTGCGAAGGACGTTCAATCTCGCGCAACGCTCGGCTGTGGCGGTTTCTTTGTGGATGGAACGTTGGTATCATTCGCTCCATATTCATACTTGTGCATTAGCCGCTTGACTTGATCCACTTCCAGCGCGCCATTCCATCGCTTGAAGGCTCTTGCATCGATATGCTTGATCATCTCCAACACCATGGGCGGAAGCTTGATCTTGGATTGATCCAATACCAATAGAATCTATCCGTCCCACGTCTTCTGGGGTCTCGAATACACGACGTCAACAGTGTCAATGCATTTGTGAACGCACTGTCAGTCAAATCCTCTCTGAAATAGGAATACACCGCGACGTTGTAGATGGCTCGCGCATTTTCGAACCATTCTTGACTTTACGCTTGCCTTTGCCATCTTCTTTTCTTCGATCTTCTCTGGGCTGGTGCTCGGAGGAATATCGATCTCGTTGAACTCGGCCTTTAAAGAATCTGGAGCGTAGCCAGACGCGATTGCTTGCAAAGCGAATCTGCCCGTAGCGCGCTCTCCACGGAAACGGCGCCACGCTGATCGGCGATTGTTGCCTCCCTGGTGCCTCCCTGCTGCCTCGCGGGCTGTCCATTTCCTGCCTCCCTGGCGCCTCCCTGGTGCTACCCAAGCTGTCCAATTAGTCCTTTCCTGCTTCCCTGGTGCCTCACAGGCTGTCCAATTCGTCCTTTCCTGCTTCCCTGGTGCCTCCCTGGTGCTTCGCAGGCTGTCCAATTCATAATTCGTCCTTTCCTGCCTCCCTGGTGCCTCCCTGGTGCCTCCCTGGTGCCTCCCAGGCTGTCCAAATGGTCCTTTCCTGCCTCCCTGGTGTCCAGAGACTGACAGTGCCTGTGAACTTGTACAGGGCCTTGAGCTGTCCGGGACACTCTTCGAAAGCACCCACGTGAAGCACATAGCACACACCATTGGTCTTACGAAGGCCCTTAATTGTTATGGTTCCAAAGTCTACGCACTCACCAATGCAATATCAAGTCAGTGGTAGATAAACTGTTGGTGGTTCCCAACAACAAAAGGCCGGAACGCCTGTGCATCCCTTAGACCTACGAAAGGACTACCAAAGACTTTCTTCAAGTCGAGTGGCAACGATAAGTCCGACCTCGGGTCAAGCTTGGCCAGCTCTCCCTCCTACTTCATGGACAAAGCCCAATCTTCACCAGCTTAAGGCCATGGCGTAGTGGGACGTCAGTGGCTCCACCTGCAAAGCATTGTCAGTAGCTCAAATTGGCTGCAGCAACTCAACCCCTTCCACTGATTGCCATGAATCTCTTTAGGCGGCTTGATTGACTTATTGCGCCAAACACGATGAGTTTTTGCATCCTTTTGCGCCGCAGTACACTGCAGCATTGCTGTGCGGCTGACGAAGGTCTACGTGCTCGCAGTGCCAACCTCATGCATCTTCCGCATGAGCCACAGCTGGGGTAGCAGCCCCATCCCCTCTTGGAACCTGATTTGCTCAAGCTGGTGAAGCAGCTTTTGCTTTGCAGATCTCCATCCAATGCTCACTCAGGATCAAACATTGTGTAGGACACGAGAATCTGCATGGTGAACCTCTTGCCAACTCTGGCAGCACATTCTTGGACCTTGGACCTTTGAGATCTGCAATTGTACAATTAGTCCTCCAAGCTCGGAACCAATCATCTCCCGGGTGGAAGAAGAAGGCCAAGACCAAAGCTGCGGGGGCTGTTGCATACCTCAGAAACGTCACCTCATTTGACTTCAGTGATCAATGTTGCTTCAAAAATCGCGGCGGCTGCACACTCTGAGGAATGGAGTGGACCTCACACAGTTCATTCATGTATTGCACATGTGCAACTAGTCTTTTGAGATCCTTTAGGCAATCAGTTGTTGAGTTTCCCTTTCTTGCAAACACTTCACGCATCAACGGCACCTTGTCACACAAACGGGTTCGATCTTTGCAGTCTTGCTGCAAGAAGTAACTCCTTTTGCGCATTCTCTTTAGAAGTCTATGATTGCATGAGACTGGAGGGAGGTTGCATGTCTGCTCATGTTGATTCATCTGTGAAAATCAATTTGGAAAGAGGTGAAGGAGCGCTAGCAGATGAAGTTTTTGGAGGACTCAGCCAAAGAAGCCAAAGCCCGCAGTTTACCTCTGTTGTGAAGGTGAGTAGAGGAGCAAAACTAGTATTTATGTCCACAGACCAAAGCCTGCAACCAGCCCCTCCCGAACAAGAGATCCAAGAGGCACATGTGGGCCAGAAGCTTTGCTTGAACTTCACAAAACGCTATGGATGCCGTGAGCATCTCGTCATCCCTTGAACCCCTAAATCCTGTCGAGAAGCGATGGAACGGCGCAGCAAAACAGGCACCCTAAGCAAGAAACGCAAACAGGGGCTCCTGATCGAAAAACACAGAAGGTCCGCAAATACACAAGCTTCAAGGGTTCGGACAAATATTCAGCAATCAAAAACAACTTGATTGATTTTGATGACAGTTCCACGGTGAAATGGCCGGATACCGGAAACAAAAGCGAGCAAGGAAGGACTTGGGGTTGGAGAGGGTGCAACCTGAACAGTGTGGAGACAAGCAGGGAACAAGCATTGACTTGAGAGTAGTGTTGCAACAACATGAGACAGGCAGCAGCATCTGCTGAAATTGGGTGTGCAAAGCAATGCCGGAACACCTGTCTACTGCCTATCTCTGTTCCGACCGAAACTAAAACTGCCAGCAGCAAAAATCCTGAGACAAACGCCAACCTCGCTTAGGCCCTTGCTGCTTCGGCGCAGTGTGCTGAAATTGGAAGCACATGAAACTGAGACCCACTGCCACAGCCTCAACTGTCAAATTCGTGTGACCAGTAAGTTGCTGGTGGTTTACATTCAGCATAAGTCCCGGACTGTAGAGAGTATCAGCTCTAAGTATGCAAATTTTGTCTCCACTAGTCTTGTCTCCATGGACTGCGCAGGGCAATGCTCACGACGTTTGCAATCGTATGAGCACATCTTTTCTTTACACATCAAAATGTTCCTTGCGACAGTACATGGTTCCAAAAAACTTGTTCATCCTTCACAAGGCTTGGCCGGCTCACCCAGACACATCTGGCTACCGCGGCCAGCATGTAACATGCCTGCAACACAGCAAATCAATATATACATATTCCAGAGACAGCTCCAAAGTTCCACAACATGAGAAAAGAATAGGCGGTAGTACCCCAAACTTCTGGGTTGCTAGAAAGATCCGCCCGCACCGCAGGTGCTGGGGGTCGTAATTTTGTTGGGCTAGGTGGGAACGGACATGCATATCCTGCATCATGAGGTGTCTGGAGGGGAAGTGGTGGCGGAAGAAAACATGCAAAAAAACACGGAGAAAGAGAGGTGTTGCTACATTTTATACAGAGGTGGTGTGCCGTACATATGATCTGGGACAGGGCATGAAGTGGCATGGTTGCAGTGACAAATGCTCCAAACAATTGAAAGGAATCCTTTGCATGCCTTGCATAAACCTGGTGATGCAAATGCTGCAATAATGAGACAAGCCCAACTTATATCCAACAATGCCTGCAAATGTCTTATTTCCCATACAGTATATCTACTTCTTTCATTCATCCACTGCATGGTATGTGTCATCCCTAGGTCCAAAAACAGCGTGATCATGCATTATGACCTCGAGATGAACGGTGCTAAATGTGCAGGCATTGTTGGATATAAGTTGGACCTTCTGAAAAATGTAATGTACAATTTCAAGCGGTGATTGCAATAAACTGATATACAATATGGTTATATAAACATTTTACAATAGACTATACAATAAACATCTAGAGTCGTGCTCATTCGGTCACGCATCATATGAACGTGGATTCTGAAACGCACATAGTTACTAAAACGGGTGTAGTTTCTGACACGTAGTTTCAGAAATGGAGTTTTATCGCGGAAAAGTCCGGCATTTGCATTCCTGTTTTCCCTTAAAAAGACTGGAGAAGTCAGGTTGCGTTAGGCGTCGCCAAGATACACACATCAGGTCCTCATGCAAACCTATTTGCCGAATCCTGCACAAACGATGGCAACACTACATATAAGTACTGCACATTGTCAACAATCAAAATGATCCACCATTCCAAACCATAACTATCCAAATCCCTCAGGATCTGCCGGCTCTGAATATTCCAATTCTGCCGATCAAAATGTCAAAAAAAAACAATCTGGAAGGAACGATCATTCTCCGAGATTATATAAAGGTCCTCGCGCGGATATCTGGTTCATACCTAGGTCTCTGCATGCATGAGCGCTTCTGCCGCGTGGCGCAGCTCTATATACTGCATAATTTGTGTACATGTCGCGCACATCATCTATCTGCCATACAATATCGGTAAGGGATGTGTATCCTGGCCAGGTGTTGTGCAAGTGTGGGACACTCCAAAGACCTTCGAAGGGTTGGTCACGCACTAAACCCATGAGTTTGTCGGTACTAATTGCTATCCGGCCTGAGTGTCAATGCTCAGTCCATAGATAGACTTGTGCTTCCAGATCTTGTAGAGCAAGATGCAGGACGCTGCAAATTGAACAAAATATCCTTGAGAAACCAAATGACGATTCTAGAATCTTCCATTGAACTCTCTTGAGGGTCCAACCCACAAGAAAAAGGAAGATCTCCATGCTAGAACCTCACATCAATGAAATCAAAGGTCATGGAAGACCATCGCAAGTCAACCCAAAGAGCTGAAAGAGCTGAGCGACAGTACCCGTGATACTGCGGCCCGTGAGACGCCGCCCCGATCTTCAAAAAACATGCAACAGTCAGCAACAGTCACAGTCAGCGACAGCGACAGTGTCAACCAAAAACACCCAAGCGCGCAGAGCTCAAATCTTGCCAAATAGATATAAATAGATACAAGAATGGTTGAGTAGAGTGTCAACACCATTTGTTCCCGGTCGTGCACCAAATAGGGCCCACTATTGGACATTCCACCTAGACCAGAGATGCAGTTAGACCCTTCTCGACAAAATGCATGAACCACATCCAGTCAAAGCTGCTGTTATGCGAAGGGGTGCCTCCAAGAACCATACTGACCATGTTTTAGTGGAATTTGTACTTCAGTTGTCGCACCTTAGTATACCAGCATCATCCATGAAACTGTTCTACTGAGGCACCGTGGCCCTTGGAATTTTGAAACAAAATGATTTTCTTATATCGTTGTGCGACATTACGAACATTCGCTTTGCAATCGTCTCTCTTTTGTTGAGGATCTTTGTTTTGCTTCCCATTCCCTCGAAGGCTCCAGTGCCTTCGGTGAAAACGTTCCACTTCATGCCAAAATCGGTCAAGGCAGGTGGCAGGTGCATCCTGTGCACCAACCTGCACGATTTTGCTATCACCGAAGGATATAGATTATTGAGCGTGGAAGGCTCCTCACTAAGCCACTAAGCGACCCATCATCTGAGTGTTCAAGCCCAAAAGTCTCACGACCATTGTGGCCCAGTAGGTGCACTCCTCTCAATTCAGCAAACGTGAACTAGAAGAACACAACAGCTTGAGAGGCAACAAGACCGGAACTTGTCGCATATGTCGTTGATCTTTTGATGTACAAAAGTGGCAGCGCCTTTCTGGCTGTGCCAACACTGTCTGTCTGCGCTGCCCTTTTCTTGCCGATCAAGCCTAGCAGTTATATAGAATTTAGAAAACTAGCTGTGCCATGTGATGGTGAGTTTACCGGTGTGCATCACAAACCAATGCAATCTCAACCTTGACGCAATACGGTGTTGTTTTGTTCCTCTGGCAGAATCAAACAAGGCGTTACTACTATACATAAATATAAATATGTCACAACGCTCCACACGCAAGGACTTTCTCTCAGGGTTGCGCAAGGTCCTGACGTGGTTTTCCACCCACTGCATTCAGCAGGTGGTTCCGAGGGACATCAA